CATACTCACATATATGTCCCCTCTAGAGCATTGTCATAATCACATATATATGTCCCCCTATATCACTGTCATAATCATATATATGTCCCCCCTCTAGAGCATTGTCATAATCACATATATATGTCCCCCTATATCACTGTCATAATCATATATATGTCCCCCCTCTAGAGCATTGTCATAATCACATATATGTCCCCTCTAGAGCACTGTCATAATCACATATATGGGACACGATGAAGGAAGGTATTCCCCATCCATAGATGCTGGAACAGTTTTCACAGTTGTGTACTGAAAAACCATCCAATAAAATTGTAATCTCTGTATATGATGAAAACCACGCATTAGGTTGCTTATTCTATAAGAGAAGAAAAAGTACTTTAACCACATTCCTTGCTACAATGTTTGCAACAGGCCTACCATATAATCAAATAATGAAGTAAATCAAGCTACCTGACCTTAGTGAGTGACTTGTTAAGGTTTTTATGCTTTGTAAACACAATATTGCTACAATATTCATAACAAGCTTATCATGCAACATTGAAGTTAAACAAACCGAAAAACCCTGGCGACTTTTTAAAAGTCTATACTATGAACAAACTTATCATGAAGTGGCTAAAGCTAGCTTTTATCACAGTAAACTACTATTAAATATCATGCAACAGCACCCCAAAACTAGTAAAGTAGTAAAAAAAGCACACAATCTATATTTAAAAAATCCTACTTGCAGTTATATAACTTTGAGTGAACCATCGACAAACATACAATGTAAAACTTAAAAAAGTGTAAATCAAAACTTCTTCCAACACCAACAGAAGGCACATAGCATCCTCAAAAGCACTAGTTCTTCCAACACCAACAGAAGGTACATAGCATCCTCAAAAGCACCAGTTCACGTTGCCTTGTTTCCCTTTCAACTTTCAAAAGCTTACCAGTTTCAAGTTTTAAATAAATAATGGAATATAAAAACATGTGCCGTTATAGCAATTTATGCTCATATTCAGGTTCAGTTATGTTGTTTAAAAACAGAATTATTTTACAATCACACCTAAGATATGTTAATTTAAGAGAAAGTTTGTTTGTTGTTAATCACAAAGCTACATGATGTGCTATTTGTGCTATGCCAACTATGGGATCGAACCCGAATTTCTAGCGTATAATAGTTAAACGAACCATCTAAACATCACGTTAGTGTAGCCTATATAATGTGTAAAGTTTAATATATTCTAATCCCTTATAGTGATGGCACACGA